AAATAAATATATAAAATTTACCATAATTTACTGAGAAAACAAGTACCCATTTGTATAAAAAAAATTACTTTGTTTTCCTATTCGTGGTCGGGGGGAAAAAAACTCATTTATAATAATGTAGTTTACTATAATATAAAATCCACATAAAGGAAATTTGATCTCAATTGCATATATAACTTGCTAAGATATACACATATACCAAAATGAACTCTAGAAGCTTAAGAAAATAAAAGTATGCATTAGATAGTGGCATGGCATTAAAAAAAAAATCACAAAATGTTTTACATCAGTGACTTTTTACTTGTTTTTTGTTTTTGTTTGAGTCAGAGTCTCACTCTTCTTTCCTGCTACCCAGGCTGGAGTGTAGAGGCACAATCACAGTTTACAGCAGCCTCGACCTCCTGGGCTCAAGCGATTCCTCTGCATCATCCTGTAGCTGAGATTACAAGAGCATGCCACCATGCCCAGCTAAATTTTTTATTTTTCTAGAGATGAGGTGCTATGTTGCCTAGGCCCTACTCTCAAACTCCTGGGCTCAAGTAATCCTCTCACCTTGGCCTCCCAAAGTACTGGGATTACAGGCATGAGCCACCACGTCCAGCAGTGATTTTTAATAATATAGAAACCACAAAGCCTACACGAAAAATAAAAATCAGAAATATTTTTCAAAAGATTAATATATTTAACAAAAACAATAATGAAAATTGGTGAGAAGATTCCAGTAAATTATGGGCAAATGATGAACAAAGAAGAAAATAAAACTAGAAAAATACTGCATTTGCTTTTCCATTATAACTGTGATGTTAGACTAGTAGTAATCTTATGTACACTTTTAAAAAACAAACTTAAAAACAACCTGTAAATATGGTAGAACTCTCAAACAAACTCTGCTTAGGTAAAGGTAAACTGATACCTTTCAGAAGTAAATCTGATAATATTTTTCAAAATTAACAAAACCCTTATACCCCCAACATTGTAATACCCTCCACCCTGGACCTCTACCCTAAAGAAGAGCAATAACATGAGCAATAACAACTATATCCTGACTGCATTACTTACAAAATGGTAAGCAATGTAGTTGTCCATTAAGAAATAAATAGTAACTCATCTCACTGTAATACTGTACAATAATCTTAAGGTAGAAAACTATAGCAAAAAGAAAATCCATCATATATAAAAGCAAATATTAAATATTATATTTATGCTTTGATTATAGTATAATGTCATGTAGCTATGATGAAAAATAAGTAGAAAGTTTGTTTTGATTTTTTTTTAATTTCTTCGACCACTAAGTTGTTTGTAAAATAAAAAGCCTGTTGAAATTGTTCAGGCCCACCACACTAGTACACATTTAAAAACTGACTTTTCAGAGGCATCCCCATAACCATTTTTTATCCCTCCCAAAAAATCACATAAAAGTAACAGGCTTTTCTCACATACAGACAAGCCATACATGTAACTTTAGCCATGCTATTAGCCAGCTGTAACCTTATTATATTAAAATCTCATTTTACCATCCAAAACATAACCGTATGGGGTCTCCATATGGTGATCAGAAGCCACTTGTTATGGGGCATCTGGAGAGAGGGCCTCAAGCACTGAAGTTAAAACTATCTGGCTGAGTGAAATGATAAAAGATTAGCTTTCTCCTATACTCCCAAATGAACTATCATGTTTCTCAGCCACTCAAGTGCTCTAAGTCCCTAGGAGTGGCAGCTATATATTCAAGGAAGGAAAAGGTACAAGCAGATTTGCTGTCCCTTTTTTGAAAAATTGGCAATTTCTTCATTTTTTCCCAAAGTACCATGAGGTCAAATACACAAGCATGAGGTCAGGAGATGTGAGATACAGGTGAGTACAAGTAACCTCAAACAAGTTATTTGCCTTTTCAGGCTAGACTTGTTTAATGGTAAAATTTTTACAGTTGAACCAAATAATTTATTAATTCTTTCAAGTTCAATTTCTATTATTCATTTAATAGAGATCCCTTTTTCAATACTTACCTCATCTCCCACAATCCCCATTCAAATTGTAAAACAATCAAGATTTAGAATTAGGAATCCCATTCAGCAAATTTTTTTTTTTTTTTTTGAGTTGGAGTCTCACTCTGTCACCCAGTCTGAAGTGCAGGGGCACACTCACAGCCACCACAGCCTCAACCTGCTGGGCTCTGGCGATCCTTCCACCTCAGCCTTCCAAGTAGCTGGAACTACAGGCACATGCCACCAAGCCTGGCTAATTTTCTGATTTATGATAGAAACGAGGTCTCACCAAATTGCCCAGGCTGGTCTTGAAACCCTGAGCTCAGGCAATTCTCTCACTTCAGCCTCCCAAAGTGCTGGGATTACAGGCGTGAGCCACTGCACCCAGCCAGCAAATTTTTTTAATTTGGAAAAAAAATTTAGAATTAGGAGACTAGGGGCCACGGTGAAATACACAGATGGTCAAACGCTCTGGACTGTAATCCTAGCTCTGTCCCTTTCCACCTGCATGACCTTGAGCAAATTACTACACTTCAAAATAAAGTCTTAGGAGCAATAAAGTAGTTTTCCAGTCATAACTAGAGTTTCATTTCTAACAAGCCAACAATTTTTACTTCATTCCTGGATATTTTTACTTCATTCCTGGATAAAGTACCTTGTGCATTCATCTTTTCTAAATGTTCTGATATTGAATGAGGCGGTCTAACATATTTTGCCTATCTTAAAATTATATTCAATAGCCGGGCTCGGTGGCTCAGCCTGTAATCCTGCGCCTTTGGGAGGCTGAGGTGAGTGGATTGCCTGAGCCCGCGGGTTCGAGACCCGCCTGGGCAGCGAGACCTCATCTCTACAATAAATTAAAAAATCAGCAGGGCGTGGTAGCGCATGCCTGTAATTCTGGGCTACTTGGAAGGCTGAGGCGGAAGGATCGCCAGAGCCCAGCAGGTCGAGGCTGCGGTGGCCGGAAGCAGCCACTGTACTCCAGTCTGGGCGGCAGAGTGAGACTCCAACTCAAAAAAAAAAAAAAAAAAAATTAGATTCAAGACTGGAACCATTCCTCAAAAATGTATTTGGTAAACAGTTTTGGGGCACCTGTGCCACATAACTTGTGCTAGAGTTGCAAAGGTCCCTGCCCTTAAGAATCCCAAAAGCCTGGTGGGTGACACACATATAAACAAATTACTAACTACCAACTGACAAATACTAACTGCAGAATGTATGAATCAGTCCCAACAAGAGATAAGATACCTGGACAAGGCTCAGAGGTGATTAGCAAGGGCAAGCTGTTCAGTACATAGAGAAATATCAACAGAGGAACAATGTAAAACCACAAAGGAAGATGTCATCTTCAGAGAACTGCAAGTAGTCTTATATGGAGAGGGCACGCATGATAGTACAAGACGAAACCAGAATGTAGAGAAATACCAGAAATTGTAAAGGGCTTTGAACTTCATCCATATAGACTGAAGTCACTGAAGGACTTTTTTTTTTTTTTTTAAGGAAAATAGAGACCAGGTCTCGCTATGTTGCACAGGCAGGTCTTGAACTCCTAGGCTCAAGAGAGCCTCCTGCGTCGGCCATCCACTGAATAAACATGGATTTGAAAGTCCCTTCTTCTTCAGTAAAGTCAAGAGTTGAGTCAAGGCAATAAACAAAAAAATGCAGGTCTAAATGTGGAAAGGTAGAAAAAATAATTTTTTTTTAATGGAAAGTTCTTGCTCTCAGGATGGCTTCTAGCATTTTCTTAACCGTGGCATATTAATACAGTATAATGCTGAAGGCAGACAGTATGAATTATGGCTAAAGGACTCAAGAAAGTGTGTATTATTAACCTAGAGATTATTTGAAGTCAATGTCGAGAATACTCAATAAAATAAAGCAACCAAATAAGAAAACCGTAGAAAGCTTTAATAAATTAAAAAATCTTTAAAAAAATAAAAAATAAATTAAGAGAAGCAAACAATAGAGTACAAGAAGACTGACTTCAGGCAAAACAAACAGGAATGTCTGCATCTTTATCATACCTGATTACAGACAATAAGACATGTTTTGCACCTATTTTTTGCAGGAGAGTATCTTAAATTCCATTTAATTAAAGAAGAGCTGCCAATACTGAAGACTCTTTAAACTAGCCTAAAAGATGATGTTTTTTCAAAACTAGTCAAATTAATAGGTTCCATGAATATTTTAATGCTCAGGAAAAAAAGAAGAAAAGAAATGCCTTTTCAAGTGGCTATTTTGAAAAGCTCGAAGCTCAATTTCCCTCACCTATTAAAGTGAAACACCATCATTCCAACTGAGGCTACTGAGTCCGTGCATCAGTAATTTCCACATTGCTAAGGCCTAGTCTGGGAACAGCAAGCTTAATTGGCTGGGTAGGTTACAAAAAGATGAATTTGCAATTATTGAAATTCAAACTCAAGTTTAGCCACCAAGGACCACCTCAAAGGAGTCATTTATCCTTTTACAGTAAAGACAGTAGGCGCATTAAAAATACATGCATGCATTAAAATAGCAAAGATCTAAAGAGAGGAGATCTGAACCCACAGTCACGAAGTGAGCCACCAAAGTTTTACATCAGGATGTGTTTTAGGGAGTGTCTTTGTTTTGGCCTAGTAATTTAAAAAGAAAAAAAATACCACTCATTCGAAGCGCCCTGGTACTTTCCCCTATCAACCCTCACTAACAACCAGGCTCTGAAATCACAGGGTTATCTCAGCCGCGCCCTGATTTCTCCTTAGAGAAAGACGGCAGCCCCTGCGGCCCGAGGTCCCCAGCGCGCTGTCACAGCCCGCAGGGCTGGTGTCCTCCCGCCTCCCAGCCCGCCCCGCCTCGGGCTGCTCGCGGGGGGTTCCAGAGGGTCACCCCGGAGGCTGGGAGGCCGCAGGGTGCTACATCCTCACCCCGGGAGCCCGGGTCTTCGCCCCGCCCCGGACTGCGCCCTTAGTCCTGGGCTGCCTCGGGCGCCCACCCGACCCCAGCCCCGACACTGGCTTCGGCCCTGACCCCGGCTCTCACCGTGCGGAGGTCGCGCTGCCTCCTCGGCCGGGG